AATGAATCCACAATTGATCAGGAAGTCCCTAAGCACATGGAGGGAACTCATCCGAGGCCATCTGTGTAGTTCTGTGAGAAAGTTCTGCTGCCAGGAACTCCTGGCTCTGAATTCTTAGACCACTAAGATAGACACAGCTCAGCCACGCTTTAGCCTCCTCCAGGCTAGGCAGCCTGAGGCAATGGAAGTGGGGACTGTGACCTTCAGGAGCTCAGGTGGGTGCAGGGACAGGAATCCTCCAGCCCTCCTGGTGACTGACTCAGGAACAAGACCGCTAGAGCCCTAGAAATCCCAGGTGGGGAGGGCAAGGCCAATGGGGGTCTGAGCAACGTGAATACAGTTTCTATAGGACACGTGACCTCAGCTTAGCTTCACAATCAGGAAGACAAGTGGGAAAGAGTTCCAGGCCAGTAGACACACAGCAGCACACACCCAGAGTCACATGATGTCACGAGGACAGAGATGCTACACCGTTGTGCTTGGTGGACTCTCTCTCTATAAGATGGCATGTCATGGAACTTGGTTTCCTCTTCAGGAAAGCTTCCCTGGGCAGCAGCTTCCCTGAGCAGTAGGGTTTAGTCAGAAAATACGAAGAGGACAGTGACACAGAAAGTTAGGGGCCGCTGTCCTAATCTGCAGCCAGGTAAAGTGGGATCACCGAGAACATCCACCAGAGCGACAGTGATCCTGGCTCCTTCCAGCCTGAGGCCCTACAGCGTGTGTTTACTCCTCACAGACAGCAGCGATGAGGACCACCACTCCAGAGGTCCCAGGGAACATCGAAGGAAGGCCCACAGGGACGGCTCTCCTGGTAGGCGGCAGGCTCCCCACCTTTCCTTTGCTTCTTGGATCACTGCGGAACTTAGTGGGGCTGTGTGAGGAGGTTTCTCACAAAGTGCTGTCTGTAACCATATGAACGGGAAATAGTCTACCTAACGCCCTATAACAGCTACAACAGCCAGACAGAAGCAGAAAGCTGGGCTCCGTCTTGGTGATAGTCATGGTTGTGGGTTTGTATGTCTTGAGGCAGGGTTTCACTGCGTGGCCTTGGCTATTCTAGAACTTACTACGTAGACCAGGTTGGCCTCGAACTCATATAGATCCTCTGCCTCTGTCCCCTGAGTACTGGGGAGAGTGTGTGCCACCACACCCTGCTTTGTTTGTTTTTGATGAGCATTTCTCTAGCTCTAGCACGATAAGTGGCAAGTCACAGAGCTCATTTCACCTCAAATGTGTGTGTAAAAAATCTTACCCAAAACAGGAAGAAGGGGGCTGGTGAGCTGGCTTAGCAGATTAAAGGCACCTGCCACCAAGCTTGATGACCTGAACTGCATGCCTGGGAGCCACGTAGGAGAGAACTGACTTCTAAAGCTGACCTCTGACCTCCACATGCACACTGTGGCAAGAGCTCCATGTCCCCACGCAAATAAATAAATATTAAAAAAAAAAAGTTTACAGAACAGGATAGCATAAAGATATTGATAGTAATTATGATAGTGAAGTTGTGAGGTTTATTTATTTATTTATTGCAATACTAGGGTGGTACCCAGGGTTCATGCAAGTATTTTTCCACTGAGCTACATTGAGCTACAACCTCAACACCGCCCCCCCCTTTTGAAAAATGTATCACCAGGCGGTGATGGTGCATGCCTTTAATCCTAGTACTCGGGTGGATCTCTGTGAGTTTGAGGCCAGCCTGGTCTACAAGAGCTAGTTCCAGGACAGGCTTCAAAGCCACAGAGAAACCCTCTCTCAAAAAAAACCAAAAAAAAAAAAAAAAAAAAAAAAAAAAAAAAAAAAAAAAAAAAAAAAAAAAAAAAAAAAGGAAAAAGAAAAAGGAAAAAGAAAAATGTATCACTTATGTATGTGAGTGTTTTGTCTGCATGTATATGTGTGTACCATATGCATGCATGGTGCCCATAGAGGCCAGAAGAGGGCATCTGATCCCCTGGAACTGGAGTCACAGATTGTTCTGAGCCAACTTGTGGGTGGGGGCTGGGAGCTGAACCTGGGTCCTCTGCAAGAGCAGCCAGTGCTCTTAACCTCTGAGCCATCTTTCTAGTCCTGGGAAATTACTTTTGCCAAAACAAACAAACAATAAACAAACGTTGTGGAAAGACAGGAGCATCAGGGAAAGAATGGAAATTAATGAACAAATGTCTATTACAGAGCCTGGTGTGCAAAGTGCTTGGTAAACGCTACTTACAATGCTGGAGTTGATCGTGGGTTCTATTTCTGGAGGTACAATTTAGCCGGGGATCTGGGTGTGTAGCTCAAGGCAGAGCCTGTGCTCAGCACCCAGAAGCCTGATCTCCAGCACCCATAACGATGATGAGGATGATGAATAAACAAAACCACAACAAATTAAAAAAAAAAAAAAGCACACCAGGAATTCGGGTTCTACAGGAGACCTGTACGTTTGGTAGAATCATTTTACTTTTTGTTTTTCTCTCCATCACGCACATCCCTGTGCTGGGGTCAGATCAGTGTCTCACATGCACTAGGCAAACTCTCTTCCCAAGCTGCTCCCTGAGCTGTCTGCGAACCTTTGAGCCTCAGCCGCCTTGCTGCAGGATAGATAGGCGTGTCCTGGTGCCCTCTCCGTACTCTTCGCTGAGAACCGAAGGGAAACATTCAATATCAATTACTTAGTGCACCATTGGCACACCTTAGAGATTAATGAATGATAAGTATTCTTATTATATAAAATTTAAGGGCTGGCGAGATGGCTCAGTGACTGAGAGCATTGCCTGCTCTTCCAGAAGTCCTGAGTTCAATTCCCAGCAACCACATGGTGGCTCACAACCATCTGTAATGAGGTCTGGTGCCCTCTTCTGGCCTGCAGGCATACACACAGACAGAATATTGTATACATAATAAAATAAAATAAAGTTTATTAAAAATTAAAGGTTAATTTATTTATGTGTAGGCATGTTTTGCTTGCCTGTATGTATACGTACCATGTACATGCCTATGCCCTCAGAGGCCAGAAGAGGATTCAGATCGCCTGAAAATAGAATTACAGGAAATTGTGAGCTGCCATGTGGGTGCTGGGAACTGAGCCTGGGTCCTGCCAGAGCAGCCGGCGCTCTTAACCTCTGAGCCATCTCTCCCACGGGCATTAACTACTCTTGACTGCCTCAGGTCCAGTGAGACATACAGTTTCATGTCAGTAATAGAACATAGTAACCTAGGGGGCACTGAGCGTAAGGCCCTGTGATTCTGTTTTCCTTTTGGAGACCAGGTGTGGGAGGAGGGAGGTGGCACTCGGACAGTGGGGAGAGTTACCAAGGTTTGTCCCCACAGGTGCTGACCACGGGGACCTGGAGGTGCTGAAGGATGAGCTCCAGCTCTATGGAGGTGACGGCTTGTCCCCTGGCTTTGGGGAAGAGAACCATGAGGGTTGAGGACCGGTGGGCAGGACAAGGGGCGGAGTCTCATGATCCGAAGACTCCCAAGCAGAGATGAGGTAGCCAGGCCGCAGCAATCCAGGGGGCACTGGGGTGCCCTCTGCCATGACTCAAGGACAGTCAGTCTTCATGGCTGACTGGAACCCTGACTTTCAGCGTGGTGTTGACTGGTCACCCAATAGATCTGGGCTCCAGTTTTACCATCAGCAAAATGGGTATGACCCACTCCCTCCCTTGGAACCCTGCACTGTTTAAGAAAGTCTCAGATCGGGGCTGGAGAGATGGCTCAGTGGTTAAGAGCATTGCCTGCTCTTCCAAAGGTCCTGAGTTCAATTCCCAGCAACCACATGGTGGCTCACAACCATCTGTAATGAGGTCTGGTGCCCTCTTCTGGCCTGCAGACGTACACACAGACAGAATAATGTATACATAATAAATAAATAAATATTTTTAAAAAAAAGAAAGAAAGAAAGAAAGAAAGAAAGAAAGAAAGAAAGAAAGAAAGTCTCAGATCCCGCATCCCCGTTTATGAACTGTTTCCCAGAGCCCTGCGTGATGGTGCAGAAAACACGGAGGTGAGTGTAAGCAACAGGGCGCTTTGGTCAGCAGCACTGCAATGGAGCAGGGAGGTCTGCGGACTGAGTTAGTTCATCAAAGAGCCCCCAGAGGCACACTACCCAGTGAGAGAGCCAGTTCCCCAATGCCCGCCTAACCCCCAACTCCCGGTGATGACCAGAGAAACAGCAAGAAGCTTGGGTACACTCAGAGTGGGAAGATCCACACTGTACATATTAGACTATGCACATGGCTGCCTCTGAGCACGGGCACTGGGGATGATCTTTGTGTTGTCTTATTTGCTTATCTGAATTTATTTATTCACTTATTTGAACTCTAGAGACTGAACTCAAGGATTTTTGTTGTTATTTTGATTTTAGAAAGATTTTCATTTTTTCTTTATTTTAAAGATTTTTTATTTTATTTTGTGTTTGAGTGTTTTGCCTACATGTATGTCTGTGTACTATGTGGATGCCTGCGAAGGCTAGAAAGGGAGTTGAATCTCTTAGAATTAGAGTTACAAACAGATTAGAGCTGCCATGAGGGTGGGGACCAAACCCAGGTCCTCTGAAAGAGGAGCTATTTCTCCTGTACCACATTTTTATACGTATGTGTCTGAGTGTGGGTTTAGGCATATGAGTGCAGTGCCAGAAGAGGCCAGCAGAGGGCATCAGATCCCCTGAAGCTGGTACTACAGGAGGTTGTGAGCATCTAGTACACTCAACCATCTCTCCAGTCACGATTTTGCTTTGTTTTAAGTAAAAAGTACTAGCTTTCCACGACTTGACATGATGGGGTAACTGCCAATTAGATGGAGCAGGAACCCTTCGTCTGCTCCAGTCCCTATCCAGCCTATACCAGATCAGTGTGTAAGTCTCCACGTAGCCTACCTTCCTCCGTGGCGCTCCTTCTCAGGAGAGCACCATCATGTGTGTGCTCACTGATTCTCCTCCCGTGCAGGTGCTGCTGGGGAAATGGTGCTTGCTGGGGAGTCAGGTGAGTTGCCAGGAAGTGGAGGGAGTCAAGGATCCTGGAGCTGAGTGATGTCTCTCAGGGTCATGACTGAGATGCGGGGAACTCCAGGGAACTGCAGGGACCTGGCTGCATGCAACGGGCAGGAGAGGAGTTGTGGGATGTTGGAATGGGGGTCCAGGCAAGAGGAAGCAGACATCAGCCAAGGAAAGGTCCCTTGGATCCCATGGCGGGAAAATTACCTAGAGTCTTTCCTTAGTCACCTCCGGGTGACTGGTCACAGGGGTGAAAGCCCCTGGCAAGGAGCTTTGGCCAACCTGGCACTAACATTGAGTTTCTCATTTCTAGGACTCCGAAGGAGAGGTTCCGGCTCAACGGGGGGTAAATATATAAGCTCCAAGAACAGCAGGAGGCTGTGTGGATTCCAGAGGGGCCAGAAAGGACCACAAACGGCCTGAGAGAATGGGCCAGTTCTAGTGTTGGAGCCTGTGTCAACACCCCCATGATTCGAAAAGAAGTCTCCATCAGAGGGGAGATGGAAGGAAGAACAGGGCTTGGCCTACAGGGGGATGAGGAAGTCAGTGAGGGTCCCGGGGACAGCCACTCCTACCTTCAGGGTCCCGCCTCTTGCTCCTGCTGTGAGAACTGTCTGATCCACAAACACCCAGCAATCAAGTCTCTAAGGCCAGAGCAGCAATCTACAAAACACATCTCTCTCTTTTTCTCTCTTAAGGAGAAGTGGAGGCCTCTGAGTTAACAAGGCTGAACATAAAGAAGGACGGTAAGTAAGCCGGTGGTCAGGAGCCGTGCTCACCTAGCTGGTCCAGATTTCTGTGTGTGTTTGATGGCTGGCAGCTAGAATGACGGTAACCCCAGTCAGCTCTGCCAAGGGCCTCACAGTTAGCAAAGTCCTCAGCTCTAGTTACCTGGGGGTGTGGGGGTGGGGTACAAGCAGCGATGCCTATCTCTTCTTCTTCTTCTTCTTCTTCTTCTTCTTCTTCTTCTTCTTCTTCTTCTTCTTCTTCTTCTTCTTCTTCTTCTTCTTTTTTCTTTTTTTTTTTCGAGACAGGGTTTCTCTGTAGCTTTGGAGCCTGTCCTGGAACTAGCTCTTGTAGACCAAGCTGGTCTTGAACTCACAGAGATCTGCCTGCCTCTGCCTCCCAAGTGCTGGGATTAAAGGCATGTGCCACCACTGCCCGGCTCTATCTCTTCATGTAGAAACTGAGCCCATGGTTGGTGGGGACCTGACAGCTAATGAAGTGGAATGCCCTGGATTGACAGCCAGTGTTACACTCTGAAAACACGGGGAGATGATAAATGTTTCTCATGCCCTCTGGCGGGGCATAGTTAGGCTGTGGGGTTCATGAAGTTCCACTGGAGAAGTGATGAGCGCTTCAGGCCTTCCTCTGCTTCAAGCCTGACTCCATGAGGACTTCCTGGAAGACCGTGACAGTAGGAAAGGGAGACCTTGGTTTTTGATTTGTTTATAAGATTAAGAAAAATATTTATATGAGTGTCTGTGTCCAAGGAGGTCAGAAGAGGGTGTCAGAGCCCCCGGAGCTAGAGTTACAGGTGTCTGGCTGGAGGCTGGTAGGGATGGGTGGTGTGAATCCAACTTGGGTTTCTGCAATAGCAGTACTCACTGCTGAACTAACTCTCCGGTTCCTCACCATGTTTTCTGATTTTTTTGTTTGTTTGTTTCAAAGATTTATTTATTTATTATGTACACAGTGTTCAGCCTCCATGTATGCCTGCAGGCCAGAAGAGGGCGCCAGATCTCATTACAGATGGCTGTGAGCCACCATGTGGGTTGCTGGGAATTGAACTCAGGACCTCCAGAAGAGTGGTCAGTGCTCTTAGCCTCTGAGCCATCTCTCCAGCTCCCCTCCCCCCATGTTTTCTGATTAAGCAAATGGTAGTTGTTCTAGAAAAAGCTTGAGTTACTTCCAAAGCTCCCCCGACATTCCCATTTTTCAGGAAATGAGAGCCCTGGGCTTATGCCCTTTCTTAGTCTTGGTCCCTGACCACTATAGCACACTGTTTGGCTGAGGGTGGGGATAGGGCATCAAGGGCTCATTGGACGGAAACCCAGAGTCTCAAAGTACAGGCCACGTCTGCCTTGTTTCGAGAGTGGTAGGGCGTATTATGCCCCAAAGGAAGAAGGCAATCCCTCTGCCTTTGGAATCTGGAGCCTTTGATTCAGTCTTGACCTTGCTCATTTCCTCTGAGAAAGACCCTTCCCCAGGCAGCAGGGTTTGCTCGCCCTGGTCTAGGTTGACTTTTGCTTTGTTTAATGTGTGGGAGGCAGTGTTTTATTCTGTCTATGTAACCCAGACTGACCTCAAACTTGGGTCCTTTGTCCTCAGCCTCCCCATTACTGGGTCACAAGTGTGTACCACCATTCCTGACTTTCCTTAACTCTCTTTTATATTCTTCTTGTCTGAGAAAGCAGGAGACCACTATTGACCCTGGTGACATCCCTCCCTCAGTGCCCAGCATCCCGAGGTCCGACCTCTCTCACGCCTGTTAGCCTCAGAGCTTTGCACTTGGTGCCTTTGCATGTTTCACAATTGTTTTTAATGCTCACTCAACAAATGAGCTCCAGAGCACCGTGTGTGGCTGCTCTAGCTGCTGAGTTTCCTTGGGCAGGAAGCTGACTGGGATTCTCCTTCTCAAAGACTTAGAGCCCAGGGAGCAGGGGACAATAAACACAGAGATAAAGCCCAAGCTGCATGGCTGTGCATGTTCCAAAAATAACGAAGAGAGATAGGGCACAAAAAGGGACTCCTGGGGTGCTATATAACTCTGGTTGGTCAGGAGCAGAAGCACCGTCATTTTTAAAACAAGAAGAGGCTGGATCCTCTTCTTGGTCCAGCAGTTAAATGCATTTCCTCTTTGTCAGAGGACTGGAGTTTGGATCCCAGCTCTCATATCAGATCCTCACAAATGTCAGCTCCAAGGGATCTGATTCACCCTTCTGACATCGGTGGGTACTTGATGCACACTTATGTGGGGGTATGCATGCACCCCCACACAAATAAAATAAAAAATAGAGCAGTTGGGCATAGTGGCACACACTTTAATCCCAGCACTAGGCTGGTAAAGGCAGTTAGACTTCTATGAGCTCCAAGACAGCCAGGGTGACACAGTGGAACATTGCCTCAAACAGACAGACAGACAAACAAACAAATAGATAAATAAATAGCTGGGCATCGTGGTGCATGTCTTTAATCCTCGTACTCTGGAGGCAGAGGCAGGTGGATCTCTGTGATATCAAGGCTAGCTTGGTCTACACAGAGAGTTTCAAGTTTTCCAGGGTTACAGGAACAACACACACATAAAACCAAGAGAACAGGCATGGGGTTGTGGCACACACCTGTAACCCTAGTACTCTGAAGGTTGAAGCAGAAGAATCCTAAATTGAAGGTAACCCTGGGCTGCATAGAGGAGAGAGAGAAAGAGAAAGAGAGAGAGAGAGAGAGAGAGAGAGAGAGAGAGAGAGAGAGAGAGAACCAGCCTCTACCCTTTCTTGTAGATGAGTTTTTCCATTTCGTCCTCCTCTGCTTTGCCATTGGAGCCTTGCTGGTGTGCTATCACTACTACGCAGGTGAGCCTCCCTGGGGACCTGGGAAGGGGCTGCATGGGAGGACAGGGTGCTGACCTACAGCCCAAAGGCTCACTTCACTGTTCTTTCCCTGCTGCCTTTGAAGACTGGTTCATGTCCCTGGGGGTCGGCCTGCTCACCTTCGCCTCCCTGGAGACCATCGGCATCTACTTCGGGCTGGGTAAGTGGTCCTGTGGGAAAGCTCCACAGACCCGCAAGGCTCCTAGAGGGAGGGGTGGTGGCTGGCCATCACACTTGCCAAGAGTCATGATCTAAACTTTTTTTTTTTTTTTTAAATCAATTCCTGATGTTTGTGTTTTCTTCCTGACCGCATGTGAGGTCAGTGAGAGGTCCTTGGCAGAACCTTGTGGAAAAAAGGGGGGCAGTCCCACAAAAACAGTTTAAAGTAGCAAACACGCATAGCTCCTCAGATACTGAAAACAAGCGAGGGGAGCCAGGCATCAAGGTCGCTGGGTTTCCTGTCCCTGTTATTACTGCCTGTGACTCTTTTCCGTGTAATAGCCACAGCACTGTTATTGACGTTAGCCTAAAATTGCATGTTAGGGCTTTGTTTGCGTGGGGTGTGCCTCGGTCCTGGGGCAGCAGGGAGTGAGCCTGACCCTGGGGCCCTTGAGGGGTCACCATCCTGACCAGCATCTCCCCTTGCTTCTGAGCAGTGTACCGGATCCACAGCGTACTTCAGGGCTTCATTCCCCTCCTGCAGAAGTTCAGGCTGCCAGGTAATGGTGCTGCACACACCGGATCCGAACTCTCCTGATTGGGGCTTTCTTCTCTGAAAGAGGACTGCTGTCTAGGGACAGTCCTGGAGGCAGGAGGCTGAAGCTCAGGTTCTGCCTCTGTTCTGTGACCCCAGACAGCCCTTTTCTGTGCTGGCCATGGAGCCCAAGCCCCACAACACGCTAGTCAAGCCACAGTCCAGCTGTCCGTAGCCTCTTTGAGCCTTGGGTTTCTCCACTGGAAAATTGGTATAATTTTACTGCATGAGGCAGCCCATCAAGTAAGGAAGGGTGCAGAGGGCTGTAAGCATAAACACGAAGGAAAGCAAGGAGCCTGCACTCCCCAAACGCTACTTCCTCCCTGTCTGTGTTAAGTAACTTTGTGGATGCCTTTGACATAGCCTGGGCTAAAGTAGAGTCTCTGTGAGTGCACATGTGTGCGTGAGTTTGTATGTGTGTGTGTCTCAGTGTGAGCGTGTGCATGCATGTGTGTGTGCGTGTGTGTCTCAGTGTGAGCGTGCATGTGCGTGTGTGTCTCAGTATGTGCGTGTGCAGGCGTGCGTGTGTGCGTGTGTGTGTGTGTGTGTGTGTCTGTGTGGCTAGAATGGGACCCAAGGCTTCACATATGCTAAGACACTGCTCTGCTACAGAGCCATACTCCCACCCACTGTCTTTGACTAACAGCCCAGCAACTTTGCATGTGGTGCTCTTGTGCCTCAGAGTCTGGAAGCCAGGCAGGGGTAGTGTGTCTCTGTGCTGGGGATGGAGAGGGGATAATACCTCCACAACTAGGGACCCCGGGGACCCACAGTGCCTTCAGGGAGGACCATATGCCACCTTCCCTGTGTTGTTTGGGCATTTGAGGTGGTGGTGGGGACAGGACTTGACTGCCTGAAGGATCCTATATCATCCTGCCGCCTTTGCCTTCCAGGGTTCAGGAGAACTGATTGAGAACTCTGTCTGATGGCGTCTGAGCCAGGCCCCAATGTGACCACTGTAACCACTGCCATACCTGAGCCCAGAAGACAGAATGCCATGCTGGAAGGCACCAGGAGGCCACGCCTGCAATAAAGAGCTCTTTCCTTCCCTGTGGTCTCAGTGTTAGCACCAGTGGGCATGTTCTCGGTCTGCAGATTAACACACAGTCTCCAGGGGGGCAAGAGAAGGGGTGGCATCTAAATGAGCAAGAAAGACTGGGGACACCACTGATCTTAGGGCCCCACAGGCTGGCATCTGTGGGTTTGGGTCTTTCTCAGATCCGCAGGCCATACTCACAGTTCCTTCAGAGTCTTCCTGGGATAGTCTACTGCCAGAGGTAGGGAGCTATCAGACTGTGTCCTCAGGAGAACCTGTCAGGTAAGATGTCTGGGACTAAAGCTGTGACTCCATCACCCAGTGACTAGCCTGTTGACCTTGGACTCCTTGAAAACCCAAATAAACATTCTGTTCTCTATGCTAAAAAAGAGTCGACTAAATATTCCTTTAGGTTTCTTCTTTGTCTCTGCCTCCCCGAGGGGTGGGATTAAAGGCATACGCTGATGGAGGAAGGACATTGGTTAATTATAATAAAGAAACGGGCTGGAAAGATGGCTCAGTAGTTAAGAGCGCTGCCTGCTCTTCCAAAGGTCCTGAGTTCAATTCCCGGCAACCACATGGTGGCTCACAACCATCTGTAATGAGGTCTGGTGTCCTCTTCTGGCCTGCAGACATACACACAGACAGAATATTGTATACATAATAAATAAATATTT